AATTAGATGTTAGATGTTACCATTTGAAGTAATTAATACTAAGTGGTTATCATACTTAACCCTACCAGAGGCCAATAGTTTTCCAAATCGCTAATTGGTATAATTCTTGAAGAAGGTATTTATGAGTCTGCCCCCAGACTACCTAGTGAAGAGAGCAAAATCTTACTAGGTAAACTGACCTGACTGGAATTTCTTATCCATCATTATTAGATGTTCAACCCTGGTCATATTACTTAGTTTCTAGGAGTCTTAGTTTTGAAAGATGGGAATACCACAGGCATCACAGGGTTGTTAAGAAGACTGAAGATACCACAGGTCAAGCACCAGCACTCAATAAAGCTAGTTCCCTTCCATTTCCTACACCTTTTTTCTTTTTTAGTCAAGGGAAAAAAAGTCAGTGTTGACACAACCCTTCATTCTATCAGTGTGCTGGAGGAAGCCAGTGGAAGGTTCCCTGTGGTCTAACTACACCACAGTGGCAGCTTCTCAGAAGGTGCTCTCCTGAGTTTCTTATAGAAAACCCTGGAGGCTGCACTACTGGGGGCTGCCACCCTGTACTGTGTGATGGCACACCAACAAGAGACCTGAGCTTGGAATCTGTCCTCATTTTAGGACTCTGAATCTGTCCTCATCTTAGGACTGCAGCCCCAGTCAAAAGGACGAAGTCACTAATGTGGAATGCCAGCACCAGTCACTGCCAGGACAAGGTGAACTATAATTAAGTGTTTCACCTAGGATGCACTGTGCATGATAAGTCAGCTCCCTCGCCCAGTCCCAAGAGCTATACAAAAGAAGGGGAAGGCTGTATACTGACATCCAAGTGTACACTTACAGAGGAAACGATTCTTATGCCACACCCAAGCCCCAAACAACCTCAAGATGTGTACACAAAGCTAGCACACACTGTTAGGGCTGAGAGCGTGGCCAGGGAGCACAAACAATGCCACATCTTGAAACAGAGGTGAAGAAAATGAGAGTAGATTGATGTTCTGGATCAACTAATGGGGCACATTCACTACAGCCAGTAATGTTGTGAGATGCAGTGGAGCTGATTTTTGACTCAGTGACCCCATGTGACTGTCCCAGTAATAGAGAGGAACACAAATCCACGTCTCAGCGTTTTCTAGCAAGGAGGGGAGTGATTGACTTTTCAGTCTAGCAGCGGAGGTCCCTAGGACCATCAGGGGAGAAGAGCAGACAGCGGGACCCTACCCAGAGAAGCAGTGATGCCTGAAATGGAGTCAGAGATGATGACGTGGAGCGATGGAGCAGCTGGAGACTTTAGATCCAGAAAGGGAGAGCGACTGTGTGCTGAAGACCTGGGGGGCACGGGGGAAGGACCGCATGGAAGGGATTGTAACTATGGCAATGAGACGATAGAACGAATGTAAAACCTATGTTCTCCCATGTAAACTATCACATAATTCACAATAAAACATTAAAAAAAAAAAAATCCACGTCTCAGTTACAAGAGTTGTAGATCCATATACTTTGAGACAGTTCACAGAAAACCCTTTCACACACACTTTTTCCACCTCAACAGAGGTATTAGAAGAAAGACTGAATGAGGACTCCAGGCCAAGCTAATCTAGACCTTGGGATTCAAACTGGAACTGGACAATTATTGCAACCCTTGGCTAAAAATTATGTTCCTTTCCAAAGACAAAATACTCTTCACTGTATCATTCTTACCTTCACCGTCCACATACTCCTTTGTAAGAGACACACTTCTACTGCAAAGCTCTCTAGGGTCTTATTTATTGCCGAGCTCTGCAGTCGAATTGAAGAACTAAAACCCAGAAGTACATAATGTACAATAATGGAGGTTGACCATTAGGTGTTGCCATTCCAAACGACCAGGTTTCTAGATGAAGCCAACAGGATGTGGCTTAACAATCAAAACAGACAACTAAATTCATTTCAGTATCTAGAGCCTAAAATAATTTCATTTAACAGGTTCAACAACATGCAACACACACACCCTGTGATCTTAATTACAGAAACATCAATGATGAGAGAAACATCTCTCAATGACAGGCAGTAAAGTGTTTACTAACACCTCCACAAACCATTTAGTAATTGCTGTGACCACAGCTATTCCTGAAAGGTGAATTCCAAAGACAATCAAATCTCAATACTTGACTTGCTTTTCCAGAAAAGAAAAGCAACATTTCAACTAATTTGCAGGTTCAGACCAAAACAAGAAGTGTGGCACTTTAAGAAAAACGGTGTCCCCTGGAGTAGATAAGGAAGCTATTTGGAGGAAGGGAATGGAAACCTATTAAGATTTAACTTGCGTCTGTGGTTTTCTTTACTAAAACCAGCCCTACAGGGAAATACACCATGGCTTGGGCCCAGGTGACACTGTTTTCCAATCCTTATTTTTTTCATAAATGGAATCATATCTAGTTTAAAGTCAGGGGAAAGCCTATACAGGAAACTATGCTCCAAGAGAAGGCTCCACAATACAGAAGGAAGTTAACCTGCATGTCTTTGGTTGATGATGTTAAGTGCCAGTGAGTCAGTTCCAACTCACAGCGACCCTGTATAGGGTTTCTAAGGAGCAGCTGGTGAGTCTGAACTGCAGACCTTGTGGTTCAAATCAACCTGGCAGCCCAGAGCTTTATTCTATAGCACCACACCAGGACTCCAAGTCTTTGGTAATGGTCATTCAAATCAGTTTTCATGATCTCTTAATGGGCAAAAACCTCCAACTAACAATATACAATCACACATAGGAAACTAACCAGTTGAAACAAGTGCCTTACTGAGTTGTTCTTCTGGCTCTAACTCCCTGTCATTAGGCAGTTCATCCTACTTATCTTTTGAGTAATTTGTCATACATTATGTACTTCTAAGCTTTGTTGTTGTGAACTACCATCGAGTTGGTTCCGACCCATAGCGACCCTGTATAGGGTTTCCGAGGAGCAGCTGGTGAGCTTGAACTGCCGACCTTGCAGTTCAAATGGCTTTGAAGTCTGGCGCATTAACCCACAGCAACACATCAGGACTCCACTTCTAAGCTTGGGCAAGGCTAATTCTTTTCTTTTAGTGCACAAAGAGACCAGAGCACAGGGATAAGCACATATCCATTAGGTGACACGGCAGGTTCTAACTGATCTATAGCCAAAAGAAACATATTCTGAGTGCCAATCTTGTGTAAGGCACTAGTCTTCCTTTTGTTGTTGTTAAGTGCCATGGAGTTGATTCTGACCCATAGGGACCCTGTATAGGGTTTCCAAGGAGCAGCTGGTAAGCTTGAACCATCATCCTTGCAGGTCAAAGCAGTCTTGCAGTCCAGTGCATTAACCCACAGTGCCACACCAGGCTCTATTCTTCCTTACGTAAGATATTTACACATAGTAACATAGTAACATAGTAAAGTAACTACTTACACATAGTAAAAGAGTAAGAGCCTGATGCATCTTACCAGTTAGGAACTATGACACAAAGTTTTCCTTTCTTTCTGTAAAATGACCTGTCACTCTCTCAGTGCCATTTATTTAATGAAATGCTTTTACTTCTATATACAAAATGAGATATTCTGTGAAAGGAACTTAAACACATTTGAAATATACATAGCACAAAGATGATAGTATCATATGACCTAACCATAAAAACGGATTTCCCCCAAACAGACAACTAGATTCCAGGAGATTATCAGGAAAATGAAATTTTAAGCCCATAAACTAGGATTTTATTCCTTTATGTTGCTGACTCTACTCATCAATTGGCTGTAGAATAATTAAATCATTACTCACAAATAAAATTTTCAGCACTGACTACTTAACTGCCTGAGACGAAATTGTTAGCCCCTGCCATGTTATATAAGGAGCTTTGGTAGCTTGTTGTTGTTTGTTGTTGTTAAGTGCCATCGAGTCGGGTCCGACCCATAGCGACCCTGTACAGGGTTTCCGAGGGTGTAAATCTTTACGGGAGCAGAAAGCCTTATCTTTCTCCCGCGGAGCGGCTGGTAGTTTCGAACCGCTGACCTTAAGGTTCGCAGCCCGATTCGTAACCGCTACGCTACCAGAGCTTTGGTAGCTTAGTGGTTACGAATCGGGCTGCTATCCTCAACGTCAGCAGTTCTGTTGGAGAAAAGTGAGGCTTTCTGCTTTCGTAAAGATTTACAGCCTCGGAAACAGTATACAGGGTGGCTATGAGTCAGAACTGAGTTCACGGCACACCACGCCATGTTATATGGAACATGCCCGACTCTTCTCAATCCTAAACTCTCTCCAGTCCTCACTGTCAACACATCCAGCAGCCCAGCACTTCAGTTCAGTGATAATCCTGTGTGCCCCTGCTCAAGACTTCTTGCTTCCTGGCATACTCTACTTTCAAGTCCTGTCCGGTTACACCCATGATTTCCTCTTAGTGCCTGCTCCAAATTAATTTCCTTACGGAAGGTTTCTCTCACAGTTTAAAATATGTATTGAGCATCTGTTATGTGCCAGGCACTTGCATGTAATTCTGCATAGGTCAATACATTTCTCATGTCTTATTACCAATTTTAGGTGTCTTTTCTCGTCTCTTCTACCCAGTCCTGGCCACAGCCTCACTTGGACCCTGTCTTTAGTGAACATAGTCCGACGAGTCACTTCAGATGTTTACTAGCAGGGTAATTCAGAAGTTTGGTATCTTGGTTAAACTACGTCCTTGAGTTGTTGTTAAGTGCGGTCAAGTCGGTTCCGGCCCATAGCGACCCTGTTTAGGGTTTCCGGTGATGGGGGGAGGGAATGTAATATAGCCCGAGAGAATTCTGGATAAATATGACCCCAGAGGTCATCTCGGTAAAGAAGTGAACGGAGGTGGGAGACTAAAGCTTGGGGAGCCCGAGACGGGTACTAGAAAAAGAGGGCAAGAGGAAGTGGAGCGTGCATGTCGTCAGAGGCCTGAGCAAAGTCCACAGAAGGGCGCTCAGAAGGTTGGGGAAAGGATACACGTCCCAAGTCAGGCTTTCTCGGGGCCCGAATCTTGGCGGGGCAGGTCTGACTCACCTGTGTGCTCAGTGAGGGAGTCGGACACAGTGTTGAAGAGCAGGTGACGGTAGCGTTGGAAAGCCTGGTCGAGGACGGAGCAGCCTGGCTGCGCGGCGGAACCGGCATGGTATTGGAAGTTGAAGTTCTTCGGCAAAAGGGCGTACCGCTGGTCGGAGGTTTGGATGTACTGGGGCCAGGGCCATAAGGCCATCGCCAGTCCAGCGGACGCTGCCGCCAGCAGCAGCGAAAACCAAAGCGTTGAGCTTGCCATTGCCCGCTAGTCCCTTCTCTCCCTAGCAGGGCGGGCCACGTGAGCCCCCTGGTCAGGTGAGCGGAGCCCGCGTGACAATCGGAGTGTCACATGACCCGAGGCCGCTCCTCGCCAGCGACCCCTGGGAACACTGACTGCTGGCCCTTTGGTTCCTGGCGTGAATGTGGAGTTTCTCCTGCGTGCCACTGATTTGTGTTGGGTGTCCGCTACGGGCCCAGTCCTCAGGAAACTCACAAGCCTGGTGAAGCAGTAAATAATTTTATCACCACAGATGCTGTGCCCAAAATATAGAACTACAAAGCTCACCAGATTGTAGAAACGCAAGGTGGGTAGGCGGAGTGGGTGAGCAGAAAGTGTCCCAGAGAAATCTTAAACTATGAATAAGAATTTGCCAGGCTAACTGGGAGAAAAGGACGTTAAAGGCCAGAAGCAGAAAAAATGGATTAAAACTACAAGTCCCTGTGATGTAAAATGCTATGGGGTGAGAAGGTAGAGTCTGAACTTCTGAGATCTGGAAAAATATGCAGCTTTAAGAGCATCCCATTGCTTGCCACCCGTGTGGCTCTTCACTTCACGGCTGGTAAAAAATCTCCTAGTTAACTGTCCCAAATCCCTTTCCCCAAAAACAAAACTCCACATACAGGGTGTGTATTTACTGCAAACAGTAAGATATTGCTGGGACTTTGCATGCAAGATGGAGAATGTCCAGAGATAATGACGAGACTAATTCTGCAGGAATTCACAGAAGACGCACAAGATTCAGGACTTTATTCTGAAGGCAATTAAGAACTCATCCTAGAGATTGGCATTTTATACATTTCATGTTGTACAGGTGGATGGATACCCAATTAGGAGAATGAGACTGAACTTACAACGGTGGGGAAGGAGAGAGCTGTAGCTCCAGCAAACAACGCAGGATGCAGAAGCAATATTCAAACGAGGCTTGAGGAATGATAGAGAGAACTCAAAAGATACATATTGAGTCAGTGACTCTGTCATCTTTTTTTTACCACAGTATCTGAAACATAGTTGAATCCCTGATTGCAAAAGGAGATAAAAAATAATGCTATTGTGTGGCATTGTTTGGCTAATACATAATTTTTTAAGGCTCAAATTACATTTTAGTATTAAAACAAGTGTTGTCAGGTGCCATCGAGTCGGAACCGACTCATAGCGACCCCATGCACAGCAGAACGGAAACAATGTCCGATCCTGGGCCAACCTCACT